ACTCAAATCTAGAGTGAACTGGCATTGTCGAAGACCCTAAAAAGACGACGAGACATCCACTCAAATTTAACTGATTTTCAAACACCGTACTAATGCTGTCGGCTTGTATCAAAGTGTGAAGAGAAATAATTCAAACATTCACAAACGTTATGCCAGCGTAGTGATATGAAATGACAATGATAATGTGTGGTTGACACATTCTATTAGGCCAGGAGGATGAAGAAGGCGTCATCATAATTCACTTTGACTCAAATCCATCCGCGTAAATTTTCGAGATTGTGTTGTGTGTCAAATGGGACATAGGTTTAGTTCCACGTCAGTCAGCATGATTAAACACTATGAAATTCTATGACATCTGATTATCCACACTGTTCATTGATAATTCAATGCGTCAGAAGCCATTCCAATTCATCATTATTTCTCTGTATATGAGTCAGAAAGCGTTGTCACTATCATTCAAGACATTCTAACTACACTACTACTGGTGACTACTGGTGAATAGTAGTTGGATTTTAGTACGACTGTATTGCTTGGCGTCGACCATCGATGAAGCCAATGGGTGGCTAGTCGATCATCACATTCCACTCGTCACAATCAACAAATATTCATCATTACTAGTGTTTCTTCACTGACACCACGCCCTCGAATATCATTCACTCTAAGCCACTCCGAAACCACTCAAGAAATGTGCAATTAACACGCCGTGAAGGGGTATTCATATCCAACTCAAAACAGCTCTACAGACTCACAGTCACTGATGCATTCATACTAGCAATAAACTTCTGTGGGAACAATGACCCAGAGAGAATACAAAGTCAGAAAACATTCCTTGTCAATATAAATGTATTTGCATAAAACTAATATGAACTAGGTGGTGATTGGCAACAGGTGGTAGATGTCGCTGATCAGGGAAGGAGAGGTGAATCAGAGGTTTCTCAATCCCTCATGGCTGCACACGATGTGAAGTGAGGCGACGCGTCCAACAATTATTATGCCGCACCACCTGCTCCCTTTCGAATATTCTTCAGTACGAAATCATCAATCTTCGACGAAAGTGCCTTGAGAACTTTGGCCCTGGCATTCTTAAACTCGTCGGTCGCCTTGATTTTCTCCAACTCTTCTCTATCTTTCTCACTCAAAGCTGAACAAATGAAATAGGCAGTGAGAGAAAGAGTCAGTGAATGAATATAAGTGTATTCGTGAGTACATGTGGTTTCAACTTGAGATGTGATCAGGTGTGTGACACAGTGTGTGTACAGAACAAATTGATGTGGATGATTGCTTTGAGTGAGTGAGTAGGAGTAGATCGACTTGTGGGTTAGTCGTGGTTGGTTGGTTGGTTGGTTGCCATTCACTTCAACATCTATGTTTCTGAAGTGGATGTTGGCTCATCAAAACAACCTGCTGTGGAGATTGATGTGGTCGGCTGATGTAAGTGAGACGTGTTTCTAAATCTCTAGTTGGCCTACTCAATAAAACCACATACCAACCGATTTGACACTACCGATATTTCAGCATAAGTGCACAGATGAAGAGTAACAACATTTCTTCGGTTCAATTGAAATCCCTCAACTTGGGTTGTGGCACAATTATTCAATGAGTAATATGAGCATATATTAACTTGATGAAATGACTCGACATTCGTTTCCTCAGAAACATCGGAATTACGCCCCGCTAGATTCAAATGATCCCCAAAATAATTATCAAGTATCCTAAGACACAGTTCACAAGTAGAGCGGTTATGTAGACGTGATATGGAAAATGACATCGTGAAATATGCGAATAATCTCCGCCTGTTGAAACAGAATGGTCAGTATATTTGAGTGGATGTGTGTGAGAATAAATTCCACGTTATTTTATGCAGCGCGGCTAGTGCGGACAAGCCTTGAGGCAGTTCAAATGGGAACGATTATGTGCCCGAGAACATACAGTCACAATATCACACATATCATAGTGGTTTCAGTGGGCGAAGAATAGGACTGAATCAATCGTAAAGCCAACGCAAGTGACGATCCGATGAATGCAGTCACAAATTACAATTCGTGAATATTACTTACTTAACAAACTGAGGACTACACAGCTTATCGTATTTATCAATGGATCTTCTCGTAATAATGGAATTCATACGGCATCAGTGTTGCAACACTAGATTGTTGTCGATCACATGATGACAGAATCCGTGACCAGTGTGTTTCTCTCTACACAACTACACTGGTTTATAATACTAGTGCTTCTACTACTACTACTACTACTACTACCTACTACCCCCGTGCCAGACAATGCCAGACAATCTTGTGTAAGAGTAACTGCACATGAGTGAATGCATCGCCCTGGTTGGTATTTCTGGAAATCACTTGATCTGACGGAGTCTGGGGACAGATACAAATCGGAGTGATTCAGGATATCAGTCGACAGGTTTAGTAATCTCGATTCTATTCGAATGAGAAATTATGTCAAAGCTGTAGTACAGAAATGCTGGAAAGATGTAATTGGCTGTCGAATCCACATGACTAGTCTTAATTCTGAGCACTAATTCAAACTAGTTGTATCCACGAAGAAATAGAATGAAGCGAATCGAAGACGCTCGACCTTTCGGACTACACACAAACGACACAATCGAATCACACACACACAATGCATCGATTGAGACTAACCACACATATATAACAACTTACCGTTGGCAGCATCGGAGAAGACTATGTTCAGGAAGACGAGAGAAAAGACGATCAGGAATTTGGCCTAAAATGAGAAGGAAACATTTGAAAGTCCACTGTAGTTATCCCATTGAAAGATGTCTGTTGCATTGTTGATTGAGACACGCGTATGTGTGATAAAAGCGTGTCATTGTTACTGTGAATAAATTACACCTGGGATTACTAGTGTTGAAGATTAAATCGGAGGCATGCTGAAGGTGTGAAATGAAGTGAAATGACGTGAAGTGAGAGGGAGAGTGATATGCTATTGTATGGTTTGGTGTGGTGTGGTGAGATTTGGCATGGTTTTGAATTGAATTGTGTGTCGTGATGAAGTGTCTTGTGTTTTGATGTCGTGTGTTCAATTAGTTGTTTTGTGGTGTGGTTTGGTGTGATGTGAAGTGGTGTGGAGTGTTGTCTAGTGTGGCCTACTGGAGTAACTTGATCTAGGCCATTCGGACAATGCACAGAAGGTGTGTCAGCCGCATCGCTCTCGTCAACGCCATCACTTCACAAAAGTCTACAGGAATGTCACTTAGTAATAACTCACATGCATTATGAAGCAGTTGGTTGCTCGTTAAGTTGTACGACTAAACCGGACAATCCCTTCGCCTTATATACTGCGTTTCATGAGTCGGAGTGTCATTGACTGGTAGAGAATCGCTCAGTGGGTGAGTGTTCATGTCAATCATATGTGTTGTTTTCGTGATTCAATCAGAGTGGTTGACATGTGGATTGTCTGCATTGTGCATTGACAGAAGTCTCATCGACAACATCAACAACAACAACAACAGATATATCATGTGTTTGTGGATCGATAGTACACCGGGGTGTAATCTGTCATCATGAGATTCACTTGGTGTCTGTGAAAATTATTTCCGTCGACCGGTTATTGTCTTCACATAAGGTGAAGTATACTAAAATGATTTCTCGTGTTGACAACTGTAAATGATTAGAAATGATGACAGGAATGTGGCTCTCTCGATTTGCATTATTTCGCATTTTATCAGAATTTTTTCGCCATTCGGTTTTTGTTTTTCAATCACGACTCTTATCTTTCGATTGATTTTGAAATCCAGTTAATTTTGACTAGGATTTTGTTATATTTGGATATCTGATATGAAATTCGTCTGATTATGACTGGAAATTCTTTTTGAAAGCTCACATTACGTGGTCCTCATTCCTGTTCAAGTTTCCTGAATACAGTTTTCTTATAGTCATAATAATTGGTTCTCTGTCTCCCACCTGCAGAGTTTGATGGCTGCTTCCTATTTACACGCTAGCACACACAAGTGTAAATTGGCAAACACAGTGGAATTTAACATCATATTTAGTAACATGTGAAGATCAACACAACACCAAATTTAGATCTTACAAGCAAAAATGATTTTAGCTGCACATTTTTTTGTATGGAGTGCTACTCTGAGGTGTTGTCTGGCGATCACAATGTGGTGATCACCCCTCAAATGGAAGGCTATTTGTATGCCCTCTTCTCAGGCTAACGCAGTTGGCAGAGATGTTTGCTTGACTCTTGTGTGGTATTTTTTTAATTCTTGTAGTGAGGTGTTTCACCTCATCTTCAATTGTCGCCTTCATACACATATGTTAAATGCGTATGGAATTCAAGCTACCGATATCACATGTTGAAAATTCCATATCAGTACAAAAAATACGGTGTGGAATCAAGGTGTAATCTTAAATGATAATCGTTTACTTTCCAATGAGGTAAATATCAAAATCCACTCCATCATTCACTTGATTTGAATCCTCACACTTTATGCAGAAATACGCGAGAATCCACAACTTATTGGACACAATCATATCAACGTTGATGTTTTATCTCAACAAGTTGTATTAGCAGGGGAACGCAAACAGTACAAGTAAGCCAATTGGTTTGGATTCGAATTCTCCTCATGTAGCCGAGTTCCAGCTCAGCTGACAGATAGCATGAGAAGAAAATCTAATGATCGAATATGCTTAGAGAAATGTACCAGACGACATACGAATCTACTTTTCTTTATTAATTTGTTATTCTCCTGAGAGGATTCACACATTATCGAGAGTTCTGATCACTTCAAACTTACTGATCGATAGACAGCTAAACGCGTGAATTGATTATAGTTATTTTCCAGAGAGAATGCACTGCTCACAGCAAGCGAAATCCATATTCGCTTGAAAGGTGAGAAAGTGTCCAGTTATGCTCGATAGGGAAATTAATCAGAGGGTTACTGGGTCAATGTATCACAACAAAGTCAAGTCGTGTACTATATAAGGGAAACAAATTAGCACAATTTAGTGACAGAGCCTCCTAATCATCGTTGAAATGCATGTAAGTGTGCACAGATAGTTCTGTGCCTAATTAAATACATGCGCCAATGTGTTTATTGAGTCAAAAGAATTTCAAAGCTATCCCATGTTTCGTATACCATGCAGCATGTAGGCCTCCTACCAAAGGTAACGCAAACAGTCTTCACAGGATATAAGTTGTGCTTCATATTGACGACTTATCACTGTGTTCACTTTCACTTCATTCAATGAGTGTGTATTCGGCTAGTTTGTCTTCGCCTATAGATGACTCCAGTAACACGGGTTTTGACATCATCCATAAGTTGTCAATGACATGTAGTGGAGTTTCAAAATTGATGGTTTCAATTCTACTCAAATAATATTTCCCACTCTCCTCGATTTCAGACCACATTTCTGCTCGTGTGTATCTTCATTTCCATGAATCTACTTTGCACCGTCGAACGTAAGTTAGTGTGACTCACTTGAAATTGTCTAAGTCCATACACACACAATGACTTTGCACAGAGTGATTACTCAAGCACTTCTCTTTAGTGCGTCGATTCACTTCGTTGGTCACCTGAATAACCGTGACAGATTTACACATTTTCCATATTTGTTCATCATGTGTGTCTTGTGCACTTGAATTTCATTCATTTAAACACTGAAAGAATTTTGTGAAGATGTTTTTCAACATACTAACTGTTTCATCCACTTGTTTTTTACTATTTCTTCTCATTCCTTGAAAATTCACAGCTGCCAGTGAGAAGGAGAAGGCTGAACTGCAAAAAATCAAATCTTCACCTGAATTCCAGAAGGCCAGAGCCAAAGTTATGGAAGCGTTGTCAGGCAAAATCGACAGCTACGTTCTGGACACTCTGCGTAAGAAGAAAGCATCAGCTGGAGGAAAGTGATACAGCATCCGATAAACTCACCATCATGAATGATGTCTTATGATGTAAAAATAAATGGAACATTTCAGTGAATACAGATTCTAACTCCATTGCCTTAGGGTTGTTCTCATTGTTAATGTGTTAAACTGAGGTGACAATTACTCCGATGCGTCTCCGAATAATCTGTCGCCGAACCGTAATTAGAAGAGTAGATTTTTCAGTGTCAGTCGCTGTTCCTATGTACCCGAAAATTGCGCGCATATTCAAACACTCTTGGGCTTCAACACTTTGAGGGAAATCACAAGACATTAGGATTATTGAGAATTCCCAATTCAAATAGACATAAATTCGCATCATCAGAATGCATGTGTATGTCTACTTGTAGTGTCAAATTTGAGAGTATCAAGTCTGAATCCCGTTTCAATCCAATGACACCTTGTCAACATAAAATCTCACGTATGCCTTGAAAACAAACACTGATTTTATTGATTCGACAGTCGAGCTGCAAGGTATCGCGGGCAACAAAATCGATATCCGTTAGTTTAGGAAGAGGACAAATATTCAGAAATAATATCATTTCGTAGTTTCTCTGCGATCGCCTTACTACTAACGTGGCTAACAATAGGAAATATAATATCTGACAATTAACCAGATACATGAAGATAAATGTGAATATTGAAAATCGATCGAGATTTAGTGGGTCAATTAGCTAATGGTAAGCAAAGTTTGAGTTCTGTTGTTCTCCCTACACATAGTTTTGGATGCATGTGGTCAATCCACAGTGCTTGAATCACTTAAAACATCCCTGAATTGAAGTAACGCGAGATAACTGAGAAACCATCATTAATATTGATTTTGAGACCAGACATCAACAGGTGCATTGAAGTGAGTGTATGATGTTTGACTTGCTTACAGGCTGAGTGCATCTGGATTTTTCATTTGAATTAAAATACACTTGATAACATGTCATATCCGACGACATAGGAACATTCTATTGGAACTATATATTATTATTATTATATTTTTATTTATATATGTCACCGCAACTGCAGTTCAACTTGTAGGTGCAGTGTGAAGGGGAGTCGAATGTATTTATTGTTTATTCGTAGACACGCAAACTGGAAGTGCTCGGGATGGAAGGAAAAGCGACGAGGCATAGACTATGCCCATTACAAGTGACCGGAGATTTCCAGCTGTTAAGTGCATGATTTCATCACTCTTGAATGGTAGTTCAGTAAAGCTAAACTTTTGTACGCAAGCCGTCCTTTCAAGAGACCCATGTTCGTTATTGCTCTGTACACTTGTAGTATACAATTACGTTATGAGAATATCCACCAGTCAACAAAATTGATTGCATGCACTGTAATTCACCCATCAATCTGTCGCTCGTTCAAACTTCATGTGACTCTGAAAACAAACCCTTCAGTGGGGAGCGTTTTGCACAGGATATGAAGGAAACTGCTGAAATAAAGACATTTTCCAACACATGGCTGCTTGTCAAATACCGACGTTGTACTGTACTTCCGTCTCATCACAAAAATGTGTAGTAAACCCAATTTGTTGTTCAGTTCGAATTCTGAAATCACTCGAGTATTTGGATGAATACGATTACACAGAGTAATTGAGGTGTTCATCGACTCATTATTCTTACAGATAATGAGTGTGTTATGGACAAGATGTTTATAAAGCACTGAATTCGCCAGAACACATTCCATTTCTTTCTCCAACTTCGCCGTCGATATACGCGGTAACAGGTTTCAAGAGGCCTTCCCACTATAGCACTATCAGTTTCCATGATATCCATGTGACCGATTAGTTGTTGAACACTGCATTTTTTCATCGTCAATCAAGCTGGTAGTGGAAGGATTGCAGGAGAACTACGAGAGGATATCATGTCGCGGTATTTGTCTTTCTAATGCTTTATTTCGCAAATTATACGATCATATTGTGGTGAGAGCTGGTTGTTAGTCAAAATTGGTGGACAGTAATTTACGTCAATGTTTTGTCTCTAATATTTCTCGTGAGAAAGGTGGGAACAAAGGCTTTACCTAGGCGGATACAGTTAACATGTAGATTATCTGAAATTCAAGAAACAGCCACAAAGAGATGCAAGGTTAGCCTTCTGTGAGAAACGACCAATCAGTGGACTGTGTTTTTCTGCTCACAATAATCTATAATATGTGCATGAAAATCTGTAGATATGTTTCGATTTCCTTAATAAAGGATCTGTCGCCTCGCGCTTGTCTTCTGTTGTTACGATATCAGTAACTTCTTATCAGTTCATTTTTCCCATGGTTAAGCTGATTCCGTCGTTTGGAAATTCAGTTCTACGACATAAAATGGCTTTAAGCGAATCACTCTACAGTCCCCTGACACTTTGAACCACTGTCGTACTATGTGTATATGAATTCACTGTTTAAGGGAATTTATTCATGAGGAACATTTCAATGTGTGTATAGAAATATAATTGCTACTTAGAGTTAGTTATATGCAGTACTCGTCGGAATTAGTATTTACACACTTGTGAACATGTGTCACTTTGGCTTGGACAAACCGCAACCATGTCAATAAATAGTGCCATGATATCTCATTCGGTGGATAGTGGGCACCGCGTCAAGTTACAAGTGGTACCTGCTCCAGTATGTCGAGTGTTAAACAATCATCCTAAATGTACGTGATTGCGTCTTCTTAGCATACCTGAAGCTATAGGGATCGATGAGGACAGATTTTACGAATGCATCCAAAGTGTGCATTTAATATCTATGTTTAGGTGGGCCTACCATAAGTTTGTCAGGTAAGTAATTTATAGGAACCCACATAAAATTGTATATCGTCCCTCGTCACTTGTGTTGTGATTTATTGTGCGATTAATCATTTCTAATGCGTATTGTGAATGGCTATACTATCATTCATTTCCCGCGACTCCGAGGCCGACTTTACAGTTGTAAAGTGAATGCATAAATAACAGGCTTTTTTCCCAATAAATGTACAGTGCAGCATCTTACAGTCAGAGGCCAGCCTTTATCTTTTGATATTTGCGTGGCTCTGTGAATTGGAAGGTACAACGGGCAAATAGGCACATTAGGGTACCAGTCAGTTTCATTACCCTTATTACCAATTAGCAGGCACAGAAATAACAAATTTGCGATGGTCTTTAAGGGTTAAAGCAGTCATAACAGTAGTCACTGAATATTTTCACGCCTTATTATTTCCTTCCTGCTCCCTTCCACTTAGTTTACCTCACAACATTATTGTCATTATTCTCTGTCACCCCATGTTTTACTATTATTATTCATTTGTGTTCCAAATGGAACACTGGTCTTTAACAACAAATCTCCACGTTATCCTATCTTCTACCATCCTCTTCAGCTTGGAACATATTTGACCATAATCTCTCATCTCCTCCTCACACGATCTCCTCCATGTCAGCCTAGGACGACCACTCGTCCTTTCCTATTGAGATTACTTTCAGTAGCCTGGTGCGCAATGCCATTCGACGGCTCATTCAATCTATGCTCGGTCCACTTCCATTTCCTCCGACAAATTTGTTGAGCAATCGGCTCCGGCTAGTTTGTTCCCACAGATTCTTGTTACTAGACTTTTCTGTCTAACTTGTGTTTAAGCACATTCAGTGAGCGCAAAGAATTCAAAAATAATGTACATAGCCTTGTCAATAATGCTTCATGTACTAAGTGTATCCATCGAATTCCGTCTATCGACTACCCCTTTCTACATATCTGAAGCTGTGAACTAGACAGTTAACTAGAATAACATAGATTCACTGTATTCCAAACCTCTAGGGTTTACTCACAGGCTCACTACAGACTAAATACGGTTTCCTTTCCTGTTCACTTTCTTAGTCTTTGCTTTCCTTGCTCATTCCCATGGATCATTAAGGAATTCAGGAGAATCTTCCCCGGGATCATTACGTGTTAAAAACAAGTAACTCTGAACACTCGTAAACACAACATTTTACAATCTGATTTTCACTCCATCCAACACAAAACACTTCGTGGAAATTTCCACATATTTTAATTCGCACGAATAACGCGATGTTGTTTGAATTTAGAGTGAGGAGTTTGTTTCCCAACTGCATTAGTGCTTTACCTGCCACTGGTGACATCATGATAATCACCGACTGCCTCAGTGCGCTCATGGTTGTCGTCTGAGTGACGAGACCGGAGTAGATTACTGACTCTTCAATGGACAATTTTGACAGTCCACATGCATTCCATCTGCTCTCGTGGACTTCCAGGACGCCTATGCAATATCTTCATATTCCATTTGCTAACTGAGCAGCCTTCCCAGTCTTTGGAGTTTCTGTAGCAGTTTGATAGATTTTGTGTTGGATTGTCACTAGACTCACGCCAAAACCTTCTTCATTAACCGGGATTGCGACCGCCTACACGATAAGCGAGCAAGTCAACCAGGCAACGTTGTAGGTGAGATCCGCAGAGCCTGAATTACTAGACCGAACATCTGCTACACAAACCGTACCAGTTTTCAATAACCATTAGCTGATGTTGCATACAAAACACACCATTTATACCTTCATATCAGACAAATAGTCACATAAGGTATTCCTACGATAAAACAAGAAATATTTACCGACATATCAACAGTAATTTCACCTTGATGAGCATTCAAAATGTAGTGTAGGCAGAAGGACAACAAAATATCGAATGCATATTGATGAAATACGAAATAATGCAAATCGAGAGAGCCACATTCCTGTCATCATTTCTAAGCATTCACAGTTGTCAACATGAGAAATCACTTTAGTATACTTCACCTAATGTGAAGACAATAACCGGTCGACGGAAATAATTTTCACAGACACCAAGTGAATCTCATGATGACAGATTACACCCCGGTGTACTATCGATCCACAAACACATGATATACTGGTTGTTGTTGTTGTTGATGTTGTCGATGAGACTTCTGTCAATGCACAATGCAGACAATCCACATGTCAACCACTCTGATTGAATCACGAAAACAACACATATGATTGACATGAACACTCACCCACTGAGCGCTTCTCTACCAGTCAATGACACTCCGACTCACGAAACGCAGTATATAAGGCGAAGGGATTGTCCGGTTTAGTCGTACAACTTAACGAGCAACCAACTGCTTCATAATGCATGTGAGTTATTACTAAGTGAC